GCTCTAGCTCCGACCACCGGCGGATTTGGTACTGTTAGGAAACAGTGCCGGATTCCTTACTCCGGAGTCGCCACGACGAAGATTGGTTTCTCCTCGTTGGATTATGGTAAAAGGGTAGATTCGTGTGTGGTGAAGTGTAGCTTAGAGACAGTGAATGTAAGTGTTGGTCAAGTAACGGAAGTGGATAAGGATACTTTCTGGCCCATCGTTAAAGCCGCCGGTGAAAAGGTTGTCGTACTTGACATGTACACTCAATGGTATGTTCGCCAAATTCGAACTCAAAATTGATACTTTAGAATTTCCGATAGTTGAGGAATCATCATAGATAGGAATCGATTGTGACAAGAACCTATGTCTTATCTTTATCTTGTCCTGTCCAATTGGTAACCACTTGATACTTGGTTTTTTTTTTTTTTTGTGTTTGCTCTGTATCACTACTACTTGTGTACAAGTTCTGAAAAACAGAGTTTACTCTGCTACTATCATTTAGCTGAAGAATTGATGCATCATTTTTGTGTTTACTGTTTGTTCATTCAAATCCCAATGTTTTTAGTACTCTCTCTCTCTCTCTAGATTTCATTATATAAACAGGTTCCTTCAATGCATGTTCATTTCCGTAATCATTGATTGTATGTTTAACAGAATGTCGAATGTTTTCCTGAATGAAAATGTTTAGTTTTTATGTTCCTGATATTTAAGACAATTCAATTGTTTTATGTGTGAGTCCATCTAGATTCCATAATGAATGTTTGAGTTTGTTTTGATGTTCTTAATCTTTGGTATAAAACTTATGCAGGTGTGGTCCGTGTAAAGTGATTGCTCCTAAATACAAAGCTTTATCAGAGAAGTATGAGGACGTTGTGTTTCTTAAGCTTGACTGCAATCCAGATAACCGGGTTTGTCTTCTCATTTCTCACCATCAAATGTTTTGTTGCTAAACCGATTATAGCTATGAGTAGCTAAGGATAACAATGTCCAAGTAGGGAAATGGATCATATATTCATAATGGAATCTTTTATGTTGTTGGTGCTTAGCCAATAGCCATTAAAAACTTTGAAAACTCTTGTTTTGGTGCAGCCATTGGCAAAGGAGCTAGGAATAAGAGTGGTTCCAACTTTCAAGATCTTGAAGGATAATAAGGTAGTGAAAGAAGTGACCGGTGCGAAATACGATGATCTGGTTGCAGCCATTGAAACAGCGAGGTCTGTTGGTTCGGAATGAACCAAATCTCAATCTCGTTACCATTTATTGGTTTGTATGTAATGTAAAACTCTGGTCCTGTTCCTATTGGTGAGGGAAGGCCATTATGCTGTTTTTTGTTTTGTATGTGTAAATGTTTCAATAAAAATATGATCAAGGTAATTTTTATTTATCATATTTCAAAGAACCGAAATAACCCGGTAAGTAAACCCGTAAAAAAATCGGGCCAAGGCCCAACAGTAGAGTAGTATAAAAAGACTGGCTAAGGCCCATTTGACCATACCATTTTTTCCTTGCATTTAAAGAAACATCACATATCACAAAATCATAGACGAAGAACATATAGCGAACCCTAATTTCCGATGATGATGATTCGGCCGAATCTGAGATCCGTCGTTGCGCAGGGAGGGAGATGTTGTCTCGCCGCAATTTTTTTTTCAGACCCGTGTAGTTGCTGTCATTGTGGTAACGTTTATTTTTTATTCTGCATGAAAGCTATAAAATTCTCGAGTGTACGTGTCTATCCTCTTATTCTTTGGCTTTAAGTTCGTGATTGTTTTTTTTTTCAATTGTAGCCTCGAAGAGAGCCAAAGCAGGGATTGGTAAATGAAGTTATCTACGCATGAATGTTGTGATGTATTTACGAACATGTTATAATACTATATATGATGATATTGATTAGGGTTTCTCGATGTAATATATCAATTGTGATTGTTTTTTTTTTTTCAAATGCAGTTTCGAAAAGAGAACCCTGAGAAGTGCTAAGTAAAGCATTGTAGAGGGGGGGGCTGTAGGTTTGGTTTCCTTTGTTTTTGGTAATGTTGAGATTTTTTTTTTTTGGTAATGAACCTGGTAATGTTGAGATTAACCGTATATTACTCAATGTTCAAAAAAGCGTTAGGCGTTAAGCAAGCGGTGACCCAATGCTTAGTGAGAACGCCTAATTAGAGGCTAGGCGATTTAATAAGCGGTCTAAACATTTTACAAAA